GTTGAAGGTCATACCTCAACTAGCTACCGAGCGGATGTGGTGTAAAGTACTATTATCAAATGTGGTAATCAGATTGAGCGCAACAGCTGAGGTCTCAATTCATCAGTTATATATATATATATATATATATATATATATATATACCGTGGGGACTAAGCTCACGGTCACGACCTTTTTGGAGAGAGAATGCTCACGAAAGACAAACTGGTTGCAAAAGACCCTGGAAACAGAGTTTTAAAGATACTGGATGTTTGATTACCGCTTCAGGTGAGCGGTGGAGTTAGTTAGGGTATCCAGATATACGATCCCAGCCTGTGCCATCGCTTGGAGGATAAGTGAATGATACTTTTGGGTTCAGCAACGTGGACGGATGTGTGACATTATGCGGTTACCTCCAGGACATTATCCCAAGTGAGGGTATTCAGCTGGATGGCGCAAAGAAACAATAAACCGAAGCAAATTACGAAAATACCTTGCTATCGTCCGTAACAAGAAGGTACAAGCCGCTTGGAGGGGCAGGGTCACTGAAGACCTTCAGGGAAGTAGGGAAATCAGGGGTCAAACCTCTATACGAATTCCGCGCAAATGTGCGACTAACGAACGGTCTGTGTGGACCTGTTGGAGAACTGTGTACCGCTAACTTTCATATGTGGGGTCGGCTGCGACACAATCCAAAACACTACACTCCTTTCAGAAAATTTTGAAAAACAATCGGTGGATCTGCACAGCATCGTCAGACCAAGCTACAATATCTAGTGCTCTAGTTTACTCTGAATTCTCCATGGTGCAAGCGCACCAATCTCATCTGTTTCAGAGGATAACAGTAGATAAGCATACCACTTCGAAAAGCAGGCAAAGTTCTCAGTTTCCACGAACAGCATACATTGCACTGATTACGCTTACTTAAACCAATATTCTCGAAAATGTATCTATCATTCAGAGATACTAGCTAAAATTTGTGGCTATTTTGAATGCCAGACGTGAGATATGACTTCTTTCCTAGGGCTATTAAGCGATATATATATATATATATATATATATATATGATGCACATTTGAATTGCACTCCAACTATATTCCAGGGAGCAGTTATTGCGTCATCAGGACGACGTGGGAGATGTCTTTGCTCAGGGAAAGTCTCACATGAAAGTAGCTACATCTAACTCTCTACAACTTTCTTAGTTTACACACTTATTATTCGTGACGTATTTATGACGCTTACCAACAGCTGGCACGCAAGGACCGACACCATGTTGAAACTAGGAACCAAACTGACAACGAGTAGGCTGTTTTTCCAGCTAATCAGCCGGCTGATTAAGATCATTCTCCCTTTAATCATACAATGTCTAAGGTCTTTGTTTGTTTCTGTCAAGATGAAGGGAACTGTTAAAT